TTGTGAAATTTTCGCGATCACAATACCTTCCATATTGACCAGTCCAATTTATAAGAGAATAAAATTGTAAAAATCACAACTGACATCAAAAGAACCAATTATTATTGAGTGAATATTTAAAATATTCCAATATTTTTTCATATACAATTAGCAATCCATAATAATATACTCGTATGTTTGTTTACAAAGCGAAAAATGTACCCTTGTGTTTTTTTAATTCAATAAATGCTTGTGCAAGCACACAAAATAATAAGTGTAAAATTAAATAATTAAAAGTTTGTATTTGCATAAAAATGAAGGAAAATACTCAAAAATATACAAATGACATTACTCAAATTTTACAGGTTGTTTGATATTTTAAATGAAAATTGGCAGTTTAAAACTTAATTAAAGTTAAACAAAACCGTGTCATTTCTGAGATACCCGTACGAATTTGCTATCCTATGTGCGAATAAATATGTCATAGCTCACTATGGGACAAACTATAACTTTAAGTTACCACATTAATTTATGCAAAATTTCAGTACTGGGTTTTTTAAAATATGGCTAAACTTCTATTGAAGTTGTATGGCAGCTACCAGAAAGAGCCAAGCCATTTCAACGAATTTTATCAAACACATTGGCCCTACTAATATATTATTCGTTTGTGTCAAATTTCAATATCATAGCTTTTATCGTTTCTAAGATATAGTCAAATAAATTTTGAAGTTGTATGGCAGCTACCCGAACCAGTACCCCGATCATGTCCAATTTAAATAGGGCTCTGGCACTTACTATACAACAAATCATTTGTGAAAATTTGGTGAATTTAGCTCAATTAGTTTTTGAGTTATCGCTGGAACGGACGGACGGACAGAAAGACAAAACTAAATCGACTCAGAATTCGACACTGATCAAAAACATACACTTGCGTCTATATCTAAGAATGTTATTTCTTTGCGTTACAAACCGTAAGGCAAATTTAGTATACCCTTCGAACATACATTCGTACGGGTATAACTACGCATAACTCATATTGAATTAATATCCCATCCCGTCTTGATAAACAAAATTCGAATTCGCACGAATTTTCAATAAGTATACCGATTCTATTAAAAATTAACACAATAGAACTTTTATATCTCGAACTTTCTTAATATCGGATAAGAGTTCGAGGTAGAGAACTTCGACACAGAATGTTCTCAATAAAATAATACAAAAAAAGAATGTTACATAAATATATATTTTATTAAGAATACAAGAGATGTATTGAAGTTAGAGATATGAACACAAAATGCTAAAAAAATGAGAAATATTTTAAGTCAAAGAAAATTTTGTCTAGTAGAGAGTGCGATATAAAGAAATTTGACTGTACATTTTAAATTTCAACAGAAGAGAAATATTAATTTTTAATTAATTTAAAAACTAACATTGAAGTCTGTGCAAAAATTACATTTCTAATTAATCAAATTATAAAAGTTACATTTCTTAAATATCTTACATGTGCTGTATATAAACTGCACTAAAATAATTTTAAAATTTCATGAAAATTTGCTTGAAATCAAAACAAACTCAATTAAATACTAGTTGTTTTTCCAATACTCTTTAACAAAATTATAGTGATTTTTAAATTCTATAGTGAATTTGAATACAATTTCATTACTATATGTAACGTTGTCGAATTTTACCAGCAATGAAACCTCATATATTATTCTATTTAATTAGTTGATAGAAAAAAGCTTTACGAACTCTATTCTTACTAAACAAAACTTTCATTTCAACTCAAGGTGAAAATAAAAATCTTTCCATTCCCTAGTATCTTTGCAGTCATCGATTCAATCTATTTTCTTCAGTTCTCTTCCATACATGAACAAAAATATATGACATATTTACTGATAAAAAGCAACATTAACATAATTTATTGTCTTTTTTTTTAATTTTATATAAAAGGTTTCGGTTTCCAAACTTAAATAATTACTTTCAATTACAAGTACATCAAACTTTCATATACCGTCCTTAAATAATTACAAACAATTACCTAAAAATATATTTTATGGTATAAAAGAAAATGTCATTTTTAAATTTCCATTTAGTATAACAAAATTCTTTCAACAGAATATTTAATTTCAATTTTAAAAGTCAAAGACTTCACATATATTAGTCGTGTGCTAAAAACGATATTTTAAACGAGAAAAAAAAATAAAAGAAAAAAAATTTTTTTTGTTTAACTATTTTTTGTTTTTCCAAAAAAAAGATGTTCAGAAAAAATTTTCCAATCTATTTACTTTGTGTCATGTTTTCAATAAATGGACTATTAACGTTACCAACTGATGAAACAACAACCTTATCAACAAGCACAGCGGAAATATCAACTGTTATTCAATATCCTATAAATAGTAATTTAACAAAAGATGTAATATGGTACCACAACAATATTAATAAAAAGTACCTATCATATAAACAATATAAACATGAACAGAATAGTCAAAATTATCATTCCAATCAACATCACACCAATCAGCAGCAGCTAAATTTAGGTTATTTAATTGGAAATTGCCTAACAAAAACAAATATATCAAATTGTATAACAATGTTAGCAATCGATACTATTGAAATTGCTATCAAGGACAATAATACATGGAATATAAATCCTTATATATCAATGATACCAAATAGTGATTGGCATCCTAAATTGCAAAATAATAAAAACAAAATTTTTAGAAAAGCGAAAAATTTTGAACAAAATAATTCAATCAATGATACTACCAACACCAATGATAATGATTTAAATGATATCCTTGTAAATAAAATTAAGGATTTTGCTGAATCTAGATCGATACGCGTTAGTTTAGTTCCAAAGGATATAAATGAAGGTAATTTTTATAAACACTTACCTAAATGTGTAGCTATAGAAATTCCAAAAAAAAAAAATTTTGAAAATCAAGTCTAAATTTTTGATTTGATATTTAAAGCTTTAATTTAAGAATTTTAAAAAAATTTCCCATTTTTTATCCTCTCATTTTTATTTTAATGGTATATAAATAGAATCTCGTAGTAAAAAAGGTGGTAAAGATAAAGGTGGTGCAATGGTTGGTGTTATGGTTATGATTGGTGTTATGGCACAAATGTTTATGGGAAAAGTTTTAATGTTAGCTGGTGGAGCATTTCTAATATCAAAATTAGCTTTATTATTTTCAATATTGGTAAGTTGAAGTTTTTCTTTTATTAATTGTTATTTTTAGTACTTTTGAAACTTTAATTAGTAAGAGTAAAATTTAATTAATGCATTGGAAATAACTAATACAAGTAGAGTAATTATGATACGGAGAATTAGAGACATAGTCAAAAATAAATTTTAAAAAGTAATTTTTAAATTGAATGAGTGTTGATAATAAGAAATGTGCGGGATAATTTAATTTAGTTGTGCAAATTAATATTACCTCCTTACCTATTTTTAACTCTCATCGATATAGAGCTAGTTCCATATAAATCTTTGATATAGATACGTAGAAGTTATTGATGTTTGAAATTTTCAATATATTCACTAACTCTAAAATATTGTTCTCTTTTAAATTCAGTTTTAAAGGTTTCTTTATCATTTGAACGGATACCCACTAAATAATGCCGAATATGAAGCTTACATGAATGTAATGAATGAATGGGATTTTTGTAATTAAAATATTAATAATGTGGGTTAAAGCATTTAAAAAATATTTAAATGCTTGTCTCAAAATTGTTTCTAGAGAAAATTTTCTTTGCTGCCCACAGGATATTTTTATTATTCCAGGGTTGATAAACATGTTGAAAACATTCTAATGCTAATTAATTTTAATGCCAAAATAAAAGAATTTTCCAATTCCTCTTTAGTGTAGCAGTAATGTTAAAATATTAATATAAGATTTTTTATCCTGCACGATTTTCAATTAAATAATAATTTATTATTAAATGAAAATCTTAAAATTTACACCAGATGTAACTGCTGATGTTGTCAAGAAAAAAATCGACCGCAACATCTATTCTTCGAATAAAAAATTCTACTTAGTTAATTTGTTGTTGTGAGTTTAGTAGAAGGGCTACACAAGACTTTGAATGAGAAATTGAAATGATAATTTGGAAAACTATTACAGATTTTTGGAATGGAAACTCAATTAGTTGCTTAAATATAGTTTGTACTTATCTCTTTAGATATACTCGAAAATTTAAATTTGACCAGTATTATTTGAGGAGATCTAGTTGCTGAAACCTAATTTTCTCCAAACACAGATTAACTTGACCAATAATGTGGATCAATTCCTTACATGACCAAAGTAACTTGTCAACTTCTTTAAAATAGATTGGACGAAAATTTGGAAAAGCGAATTCCCCTACAAATCAGGATTTAATCTAATATAGTGTGTTTACGTTTCTTTAACGTAACATTTCCATGGGAATTTATAAATTCCGCAAAATACGCAATCAAATTGAATTATTTCTCATATATTTTATTTTCTAATTTTTCAGAGTGGACTAAAAAAATCTGGTGGTAGCAGTGACCATGTAATTTATACGGAAAGCAGTGGCGGTGGCGGTCATGGTGGCGGATGGAATAGACAATTAGATTTACCACCGCTCCATGGCGACATTATACAAAAGAAAAATTTTATATAATTAATTTTACATTTTTTTTTCATTTATTTTTAATTTAATTTATTTCTTTTGTTTTCTTATTTTTCAATTCTTATTTATTTATTTTTTTTATTTATAATTGTTATGAATTTATTTATGAGGAAAAAAAATAAAAAATTAATTCAAAGATTATTTTGACAACAAATTCTCACTAAAAATAATTTAATATGAATTATTTCGAGAGAGCTATTCTCATTTTTGTGTAAATTTAATAAATAATTGCAAAAAATAAATCCTCTTTGGTAATTTGGGTATAAATTGTAACGATTAGAGAGAAGTAGAAAAATGGAAAATATTTTCCATTAAAAACAAAAATTCTTAACAATTAATAGCAACGACACAATTATGAAGCCATAAACGTTTTAAATATTTTTTTTTTCATATTCTTCACCAATTTTATTATTATTTAATAAAAATAATCTATGATCTTGGAACATACGCTCTATAAGCTTTATCTTGGGCGATCATTTCATCATCTTTTAAACTTCTATGATATGAGCTGCCACTTTCGTGTCCACCTTCATAATCACTATGACTTGATGAATATGTATGACTTTGTTGTACATGTGGATGTTTAACTATTTCATATGTTGTCTTCTCATGTTGATCATTTGATACCAATTTTTTTAAACCAATTATAGCACTAATAATTAAAGCAATTTTTCCAACAATTAAAGCTTTACCAGCTATTACAGCTATTGAATGATATGCCATTTTAAGTATAGCTGCTTTTAATATAACAGCAGCAATAAATGGTGCAAAATATTTTTTATCTTTTTTTTTACCGCGACCTTCAAAAAATTCTTCTGAATTTTTACGTCCAAAACTTAATAGATATGGTATATTAACTTGAATTTGATGTGTTTCGAAAAATTTTCCAATACGTCCATACAATAATTGATCTAAACTTTTTGTTGATAATTTAGCAATATCATTATTATTTAATTGTAAATCAATAGCAGAACCACCTAATGAACTTCTTGAACCACTTGTACCAATACCATTTCCATCATATTGATTTGACTTTTTAACAATTGTTACACCATCAATTAATTTAATGTTTTGAACTTTTAAGGCACGACCAATAAGTCGTGTTACTTGAACTTTTAAACATTTTATAATATCATCACTTGTATCACATTGCTCATAAATACGAAATATAGAACGTCCTATTCCATTATCAATTAAATTAGATGGTAACGATGATGATTCAGTATCAACGGTATTCGATGTTTCACTTTTCTCAAATTTTGGAGATTCATTTGAAAAATTCTTATTATTTATTGAATATGTATAATCCAAAAGGCAGCCTCCAATTATAGCAAGGATAATAAAAACACTTTTCATTTTTATACAATTTTTTGTATTGTTTTTTTTTTTTAATTTTAAGATAAACAATTAATCCTGTTTTCTTTTAGTTCTTAACTATTGTCTTTGATTATTTTCTATTTCTATTAAAGAATATCCACAATGATTAACGGTATATCAGTTAATTAAATATATGTTATATTTGATATTTCAACAATAATTTTATTTCAACTGATCGTGATCTAATAGATGCAATTCGTTTTATACTAAGATCAAGATCAATTGTAACATAAAAAACGAAAAAACTTTCATTCGTAAATTTTTCTACTTTTAGAGCGTTAAAAAATTGGTTGATTTTTATGTAAAAATATTGCACATTTTTTAATATTATATTGAAAATAGCATTACAAACAGATTTGTTGCATTCATTTATAATTTTACTCAAGAATTTCCTTTATGACCGTTGTTCATTAATTTGCTCGATTAATGTTTATACACAGTCATATCAAACAATATTATAAAAAATAATAATAAAAAAAAATAAAAATTTAAATATATACAATTAAATTATCTCTATAAATTACAGCTTAATTTTAAGATAAAAATAAAAGAAAAAATAGCAAAATATTGTTACATATAACAACTAATTTAATAAAAGTGATTATACTAAATTGATAAAACAAAAGAAAAAAACAAAATAATTATTTCGGGGCAATCTTAGAAAAATTTGCATGAGTCAAAGTTTTTTCATATTCGAATAAGGCATACGCAATTTGAGCTTGTTTTTAATACTCTCAACCATTTTATTATATTTTATATATAATTATTACCATTTTATTATATTTTATATTGTGTTTTAATTTTTCTATGCGTCTGTCTTTACATACAAAAATTTTAAAACGTTCATTATCGAAAACCTAAATCTTGAACGAAAAATTGCATAAATTTTATAGTAACTGTTTACGCATATTGAAAGATATTTGATTTGCCTATAGAGAGAAAGTTAATTGCAAACCTCTGAACATCTTCTGCCCTATATTTCTGCCCTATTTCTACGACCCCATTAGCTTTATCGAATTTCTTATTAGAATATAGGAATCATTTCAATATATCGCTTTCATTAGATTTAAAAATATATATAAACATAAGCTCTGTTAAAATTTACTATTCGACACGTTTAAAATTTTCTATTCTAGCGTTATACTCGACCAGTTGCTCTTCATGTTCGAATTCGTTGAATTCTTTCAGCTAAAAATCTAGGGGGGAAATTACTACATAATAATATATTTTCTCTTGAAAGAACATTTAATTTAAATCATGCTATTTAAGGAAATTTTGATTTATAACGAAGATTATACGAAGATTTGTTTTTTTAAACATAAAATTATTATTGTAAATCTAAATAACTTTTTAATAAACGAAATTTTTTTTCTCATAGAATGATAAAATTCAAAATTAATTACAAGGAGATTCTCTTCAACCAAAAACCATTTTATTTAAGTTTTATTGTGAATAAAAATTTAAAAGAGGATTATCCAAAAGTAGCGAATTTAATTATACTGAATTTGCTGTTTACCCCTCGTTTTTAGCACTTTTCCAAAAACTTTTTTAAAAATAGTGCTAATTAGTTTCACTCTGTCCGTCCGTCCGTGAACATTTTTACAAAACTTCTACACGCTTGAATATAGAAAGCTGAAATTTAATATTTACGTAGAACAAAATTTTTACCTATCTTCCACCTCTAGGGGTAGTTGGGGGTACCCCCCAAAACCCTAAAAATGCCATTTTTTTACTATTTATTGCAGGGAAACTATAAGCATTTTTCAAATTTTGCAAACGCAACATGGCAGTGGATTTCTTCTCCTATCGCGGCACACTATACTTAAAATTTGAAAAAACAAAACGGCCGGTGTCAAATGGTTTTTTCTTCTAGACCCCAGGTTGGAGGAGCCTGAAATTTTAATAGTTTTTAGGTACTAATAAATAGTTCATTTCGTTCGAAGAAAATTTTTTTCACAAGTTATCAAACCCCTCACAAGTTATCAGTTCTCGAAATTTGTAAAATTTGAATTTTTAACGCCCTATATTTCGAAAACCGCAAGCTTTTTCAAATTTCTATAAACGCAAAATGCTAACGGTAAATTCCATGACATTAAATAACATAATTATTTTTCTTGACTCACGCAATTGACCCTTAAAATCGTGCGTTATGTTAACCCCTCTTTAAATTAATTTTTGCTTTATTTCAAAGACTGCATAAATCGTTCATCCTAAATATATGCAATCCTAGAAATAGTTTCGTATATGAATGAAAACAATTTTAATAGGGTGGTGGATATAGATAGACTGTATTTAAAAGCAGTATTCTCATTTGTTGAATGGAAAAGTGCTACAATACAAACCATTGGTTTGACCCAACTTTATTAATCTTCAAAATCGTACACGTATATAACTAATAAGAAGATAGGTAATATAAAAACACTTTTAGAGCGTGTAATATTAATATTAACGGGTAGATGATAATGCAGAACTTTTTTTCTTTTTCGTGAAAAAAAAAATGAATTCGTACACTTTTTCATTTCTAATATTGTGATGGTTTTGCTATTCAACACACCACCATTTCTTTAGAAAAATCATCATCTTAGAATTAATTTAATTTTGATGTTTCGCTTTTGGTCTTTTTTTATATTTTACTTTAACTTTATTTTATTTTATTAATTTTTTTTTTGTTTTTTTAAATATTAAAAGAGAAAACAATGTTAGGCTGCACTCTCTGTACATGCAAACTTTTTAAGCCTGACTTATTTTTCGAAGATATCTTATATTTGTTTTGAATAATTTCTTTGATTTTCTTAATGTAGCCGGATTGCCTTAGAGTTTTTTTATAGTTTTTAATTGAATTCTAAATATACATATATACGTATGTGTACAATACACACGATATTAATTAGAAATTGGGGAAAAAGTATCGAAAAAATATAAAAAACACGTTTCTTTTTTAATTTTTCTGAACTCTTAACACAATAAGTAATTAGATCAAAATATTTTTATTAATATCAATTTTTGATTTCATTGCAATTATTTATAATGTGGCCTTTGATAATAAATTTCTGATTAGTGAAATGTTAATTTCCGTTAATAATTGCAATAAATGCCAAAATGATTAAAAATAATAATTTTTTATTGACCAAAGATATTTATAATTTAAGGCGAAATGGAACATCGAGACTCCATGTATATGCAAGTGAAAGTTTACATGCCGAACTATTGTACTATTTACCAAACTGTTTTGTTGAAAGACGTGCAACAGTTACTTACAGGTATGTAGCTCTACAGGTAGTTGACTCCTTTACATATTTTGTGTGTAAGATATTTATGTATTATTCCTATGCCTCGATTATGAAAAGTTTTTTTGGGATAGCTTTTATAAGTGAACAATTTTTGATTTCTATAATGTAGCAATACAGTTCAATGACATTATACATGTCATCTATAAAGCCCACTTACCTCGGAGAATAAATCAAAAAAGAATTTCCACATTTGTTTGAAAATCGCAATTTGAGGTGTGAACGATATTGACTAACATGGTTAACTATGCTGATTCCACATAATAATTGAATATTTAACGTTTAAATTTGATTTGAATGGTTTGTAAATTCGAAAGTCTGATTTTAAAAATTTATTAATATTTTCATAAAATATGCGTTTAAATACATAAGTATTCTTGTCTTAGAGTCTTTACACCACAGAGTCATGAAACTTACAATACATGTTCAGTTTATGGTAAGTCGAGTTACGATATTTTATGTATGTATATGTAATTACGCGCGACATAAGTACTTTATTATAAGTAATAAAATGTTCAACAACCATAAATTTTAATTTTAATAAATATTTTATATTTTAAGCACCTATCAACGGTGTTTATTTAACAAATAATGAATGGTTTTATAGCAGACTAATTATTATTAAAAAGTTATATATATTATATAACACCTACGCATTATTATTAGCAACAAATGAACCATATAGTCCAATTACATTACATACATATATTAAACATATTATCCATTGCTTCTCCATAAAGGTACTCTAATTTATTATTATATTGACTACCATGGCAGACAATAAAAAAATGTTGTAAAAATTTTTTTAGACCACAATTATATTCATAAAATAAACATTATTAAATTAAAATAAAAGACACCAGCAGCATATCATTAAAAGTGTATAAAATGTGTACCTACATGCATACGTAAAAGTTGTATTATATTCAAATTTTATAGCATTGTTAAGTTATTTGTAAGTTACTCCCAAATTCGCTTACATTTTTTTTTTACAAAATCAAGCATTTAATCTTTATTCATTTAAACGAATGTGTTTTACAACACACCAAAAAAAAAAATTAATATGCAAAACCATCATAAAAACCATCATGTTAAATGAAAACTTTATATGTGTACTTTTTATATTTCATTGTAATGTTAAAAATTTAAAACCATAATTAATTTTAAAACAAAGTTAATGACTTATTTTGCACATTTTTTTTTAAGTAACAGAAAAACACCATTCAAAATATTGTTGTAAATCATAAGAAAATTAAAACAAACTCTTATACTCAAAAATATTGTAAAAGAGGGGTGTAGAGGAATAACAAAGCTAATGATTAATTATAGCTTTTTAAAAATGAAATTGTAAGTAAAAGAAGATCCGTGTTATTTTATTACTGATTTTAACTGGCTATATATTCATGTTAACATTGTAGAAGCTATTGTTATAACTTATATTGTAATACTCGTATGTTATACTTATATACCTATATATTATGTATTTATATTATATGTACGTATTTCATACGAAAGAATAAAAAAAATAATAATTATATTCACAAGAAAGTTTAAAGTTTTATTTAAAAATTTTTAAAATTTTCATATCAACAGGCCATAATGTTACATGAATATGTGCATATGTGATAGTCTTTATACTCATTCATACATGTGTAGTACAACCTGTTTAAAAAAACCTTGTTTCACAAAAAATATCCGCAAATTTACAACCAATGTAGGTTTTTTGCAAGAAAATTTTAAACAATTTTCAACAATTTTTACTCGTAGTAAAATTCCGAAGTATTGTCTAGAAATTTTC